CTCCTACTATGGTGAAGTAAATTACTTTTTAATAATTGTTGAATGATCTGTAGGTGTTTTATTTTATTCCATTATTAAAGCAGTTAGGCCCAGCTCAGACTACTACTCCATTGGTGAATAGGGATTGTTTTTATTATATTTGTATTTCTAGTGCCTAGCAATGCCTGGCACTTAGTAGGTGCTTAATAAATGCTTGTTGATTGATGAGCCATATCTGAAATTTTGTCTTAAAGATAAAGAGCTGGGGTAATGGGAAGCCAGAGAGTGAGAGAGAGAAAGCCTGACGCCCTCCTTTGGGGTAAGCATCACCCCTGAATTGAATGAAAGTCTCAGTGGACCAGACTGGAGCCTCTTTGTGTGGGTGTGTATGTGTGGGGGAGAGGCCCTTTGGCATGGGTTAAAACAACAACAATAATAATAAGGTTTGTAAAACATTTTGGAATCATTGCTTTATTTGATCCTCAAAACAAGCCTGTGAGGTAACTGCTATAGATTCTATTATGTTCATTTTATACCTATGGAAACTGAGTCCCAGGGAAGTCAGAGTGATCTACACTACAAATGGGGTTCAAACCCAATCTTCCCTGACTCAATTTCAGAAATCTCTCTACTTTACCACAATTTCTATGATAAAAAATCAATAATGTTTTTATTTATGTTTTTTAAATAAAGTATTTTGAAGCTAGGTGTGCATTTCTTCTTGTTGCTGACTCATCTAGAACAGTGTGCAGAATCTCTATAAAACCAGCTTTATAGGAACTGTTTTGTTTTTTTTCCACATGGAACTCCTGCCAGACTGAAGCATTTCCTCAGACACTGGAGAGCCTGCTGGTTAAAATGGTTATTGATGACTCATAAAGGGCCTGCAGACATCTTTCTGTCAAGATATTCCCTTACTGGACTTTGGTACTGAAAATGCTTAGTCACCTACAGAGGCAGCAATGCGACATTTCACTGAGCCTGAAATCAGATTTCTCTCTTCACCACTCCACCAGGCCCTTTCTGCTACATTCCAATCCTTTCCTTCACCTCTGATTAACTCTCTATGAAGCTCCCTGCAAAGGCTGGTCCAAACCTCTCTCCTCAAACCCCTCACCTCCCTATGTTGCCTACATACACATTCCTATTTTACCAAGGAAATGGAAGGCCTAAATCATAAGCTCCTATATCTCCCCTACAACATACCCAAACATATGTATGTACAATATACCTACAACATATTGTCACCCATGCAAAAGAATGGTGCTCCAGTTTATTGTTGTTATTTTTGCTTTGCTCCAGTTTCAGAGGATAATATAACCCTTACCAAGGCTAAACTCTCTCCTGAAGCCCCTAATATCTGTCTCCTCTAGGAACTTGCCCTATCAATCTTTTTCTCTCTGTCTCTTATTTTTAATTTTTTTTTGGGGGGGGGAGGGTGAGGCAATTGGGGTTAAGTGACCTACCCAGGGTCACACAGCTAGTAAGTGTCAAGTGTCTGGTCTGAAGCCAAATTTGAACTCAGGTCCTCTTGACTCTAGGCCCAGTGCCTTATCCACTGTGCCACCTAGCTGCCCTTATTTTTAATCTTTTAAAAAAATCTTTCCCTATCTAGTGGTTCCTTTTGTTTTGCCCACAAACATGTTCAGGCCTCCCCACCCCTAAAAAAAAATCTTCACCTATCAACCTTTACACCTATTGTCCTGTATCTTTCCTCCCCTTCACTGATAAATTCTTATAATGAATATGTCTACATTCAGCTGCTATTTTCTTACCATGCGAGCATTCCTCTACCTCTTGTAATGTGGCTTCTGATTCTATAGTTTCTATTGAAACATCCATCTCAAAGATTACCACTGATCACTAATTTCTCAATTCAATGGCCAATTCCCAAGTCTCATCCTCCTTAACATTGTTGCAGCTTTTGAGACAATTGACTGGGTACCCTCTCCTCCTTTGGTTTCCATGATGATGCATTCTGCTGGTTCTCCAACTACCTCTCTGACCAATTCTCTTTCGGTGTCCTTTGCTGGATCATCATGTATCTCCTTAGAGATCCTTAAACTTTCTAACCTAAGTCTTCCCTTTTTATATCCTTTTCTTTAGTAATCTCATCCATTCCCATGAGTTCAACTTTAGTGAAAGGACTGAGGAGAGACTGGAGTGGTTGTTCAGCAACTTGGGGAAAAGTTGTCAAAGAAGCCTGAGGGAGTGGGGAGTTGGGAGAGGCACCAAAGAGCTCAGGCTAAGAAGTAGCAGCTGCATTAGGAGATGCCTAAGGAAGGACTCATAAAGGGCCTGAAGACAGATATTCCCGTACTGGACTTTGGTACCGAAAATGCTTAGTCACCTACAGAGGCAGCAGTGCCTAACAGTGCCTAGTCAGGAAAGAAGATGTAACTCAAATGGTGGTGAGGGCTCAGGTTCAGAAAAAGCAGAGGGAGGAACAGTTACCTAGACAAAGAGTTGAGGAAGCGGGCAGATGGACTTTCAACCAGCATCAGACACTTATGAGACCCACTGGGATTCTGTAGAAGGGAGCATCTGTTCTCCCATCAAACTCCATCAATCAATCAAGTCTATCCCCTTCTCTTCACTCCCACTGGCACCACCAGAGGTCAAGCCTTGACCTGGAATATTGCTATAGTGTCCATGACTCCTGATCATATTTTGGGGATGTTATAAAGAGGTTCATGCGCAGAGATGGTTGGATCCTTCCTATGTTAAAATTCTGTAATTTTCTGATTCTGTAAAAGGGGAATAATACTTGAATTATCTACTTCACAGGCTTGTTCTTTCAGCAAGTAGCCCAGGGCCTGACATATAGCAGATACTTAGTACATACATATGGATTGATTATTGTAAGAAGAGAGGGAACTTCTATTATTTTAATATACTAGGGGACCTTTTATATTTTTATTAGAGTACAACTTGACTGGGGATATGAATGAATTATTAATGTTTCCTCTATAATATGCCAACTTTCAGAAGGCAGGACCTATTTTCCCACTTCTCAAAACTAAAAACTTCCAGACCAGAAAACAGGCGCTATTTCATCAATGCTTAAGAGTAAAGAGTCTTAGGGGTTATAGCATAGCATGGCAGGGCAAACTATAGCATTTTAGAGCTGCAAGGACCCTTAGATATATCGTTTAGTCCAATCCTCTCATTTGAATGATGAGGAAATTGTGGCCAGAGATTTGTCCAAAGTTACAAAGATCACTAGTAGTAATCAATCAATCAATAAACATTTATTAAGTACCTGCTATATGCCAGGCACTATGCAAAGTGCTGGGGATACAAAAAAGAAGCAATAGACAGTCCCTGCCCTCAAGGAACTCACAGTCTGATAAGGGAGACAATATACAAACAAATGTATATTTTGGAAAGTTTGCAAAGCAAACTATATACAAGATAAATAGGAAATAATTAACATAATTCCAGAAGATCCTGGAATTAGGAGGGGTTGGGGAAGGTATCTTGTAAAAGGTAGGATTTTAATTAGACTTAGAGGAAGACAGGGAAGTCAGTAGTCTGAGCAGAGGAGGGAGGGAGAGCTTTCTAGGCATGGGGGACAGCCAAAGAAAATGCCCAGAGACGGAGGATCCCCATGTTGGGGTATAAGGTATAAGAAGACTGGAAAGGTAGGAGGAGCTAGGTTATGAAGGGCTTTGAATGTCAAAAACAACATTTTGTAGAATGTTCCTGGAGGCATTAGGAAGCCGTTGGAGTTTATTAAGTAGGAGGGTGACATGATTGGGCTTTCGTTTTAAGAAAATCACTTTAATGGCTGAATGAAGGATGGATTGGAGTGAGGAGAGGCTTGAGGCAAGCTGACCTACTAGTAGGCTATTGCAATAGTCTGGGCATGAGGTAATGAAAGCTTGGACCTGAGTGATGGCCGTATCAGAGTTGAGAAGGGGGAATACATAAGAAATGCTGAAAAAGCAAAATTTATAGGCCTTGCAATAGCTTGGATATGAGGGATGAGACAGAGAATGAGGAATCCAGGAGGACCCCTAGCTTTCAAGACTGAGGGACTGGGAGGATGGTGTAGCAGGTATTGTTGAAAAAGAAGGAAAAAAATTGTGTACATAGAGTTGGAGGAATCAGACAGCTAGTAAGTGCCTGAGGTAGGCTTGGAAATATAGTTGTCCCAGACTCTAGTCTAGTGGTATACCACCTAGGCAGGCTGATAATTTCATCTTTTCCCAAAGTTTCATTTTCAAGTCTATGCACATGACTATCAGATCGAGGTATCAATTCAAATTAATTTAGCAATGAAGGCCTACTATGTACAAGATACCATGTTTAGTGCTAGGGATACAAAAAGAAATGCTTCTGCCCTCCAATCATCATCCTCTCCCAAGCTCTATCATCAACTGCCTAAGGAGCATCACTTTCAATATATCTAAAATGAAACTATTGAGTCCCTTTGGATGGTCATATGATCTGAGTTCAAATCTGCCTCTATCTTTTACTCCCTGTGGGACTTTGGGCAAGGCACTCAGCCTCTTTGGGCCTCAGTCCACACTGGTAAAATGGGGATCATAATGTCACTTAAGTCCTAGAGTTGTCATGAGGATCAAATAATTCATGTCAAGTCAAAAAACACTTATTAAGTATACGTTCAAGGCACTGAGCATATGCAAAGCTGTTTGTAAACTTTAAAGGACTATCATGACCAGCGTCTTCTTTAATCCCTCCCTATTCTCTTGCCTCTCTTTCTCTCTAGCCGCGCTGGACTACAAGTCCCAGGAGCCAGTGCGGCGGGGCCGCCGGCGCGCGGGTCTCGTGATGGGCGCTACTTAGGGCGGAGCCTTGCCTCCGCGCCCCATCTATCTGTTTCGCTGTCGGCCGGTGGGGTTGTCCACTGGGTCTGAGTCGCTTGGCCAGACCCGTCCCTCTCTTACGGCTCTCGCCAGTTTCCCCGACACCCCCGCGCTCGTCCCTCGGCCACATACGCAGCCTTCTCGCCTTCGCACACGCCCTCCTCTCGCAGCGGCAGCGGCAGCGGCCCCATGTCGGAGCCCGGGGGCGGCGGCGGCGAGGATGGCTCGGCCGGCCTGGAGGTGTCGGCGGTGCAGAACGTGGCGGACGTGGCCGTGCTGCAGAAACACCTGCGCAAGCTAGTGCCGCTGCTGCTGGAAGATGGCGGCGAGGCCCCGGCCGCGCTGGAGGCGGCCCTGGAGGAGAAGAGCGCCCTCGAGCAGATGCGCAAGTTCCTCTCGGACCCGCAGGTCCACACCGTCCTGGTGGAGAGGTCCACGCTCAAAGGTGCCGCTCCCCGCCCGCCCCGCCCCTAACCGGGGGTCTCCCCGATCCGCGCCGCACTCCGCCGGCGCCGCAGGGGGTGCAGGAGCTGGGGATGGCCGGGCGAAGGCTTCCCCCCTTCTTCCTTTCCTTCCCCAAAGCCCCCAGCCCACCAATTCCACCCACCTGCGATAGGGCGGGGCGCTGGGGGGCAGTGCGCGGGGGGGGGGAGGGCGGAGCCCGCATCCCGGGAGGGAGCACCCTGGCCACGCCGTCCGCATCCCCATCCCCATCCCCATCCCCGGGGAGGAAAGCACTCATCAATTTCTGTATCCCGGGTTACCCCGTCTGTCAGTGAGGGGCATTAGACAGGGCGGTCGCCGAGGTCCTTCCAGCCACACTTTGCACGGGTCCAGGATTCCTAAGCTGTGGGATCCGGGCTGACTGGGTGACCTCAGAAGCCATCTAGACCAAAGCCAGTCATTTGATGGAGGGAGGAGACTGGGGTCATTGTCTTTGCTCTAAGCTCTCAAAATGGCCGTGTTGGGTGGAGCCTCTTCTTGTTAGGTTGGAGTTTGGGTCTCAGCCAGCTTTTAGTTTCCCTTTTCCAGTGGGAGTAGGATTAGGAAGCAATCTGAGGATTTTAGGAATTACATTCAATCAGAAGCCTTGAGAGACGAAGAAGAATACTTTACATCCTATGATCCATGGTATTAATTCAATTCAGACATAGTTCACTTCAACCCCTTTACTTTACAGATGGGCAGACTGAGGCTCAAAGAAGGGATCCGCATTGTCCAACCAAGGTCACACAGTTACTGAATGATTCAGAAAGGATTAGAATCAACACATGTTCTCCCTAGCTGCATGGATAGCTGAAAGAGCATTAGGATTTGATTCAGGAGAGACCTGGGTTCCAGAACATCCCCTTTGCTTACTAGTTATGTGACCTTGGCAAATTACATAAATCTTTGACCCCCAATATCTGCTCTGGCAAAATATGAGCCATTTTCCACACGGAGTTGTTAGGATTAGATGAGATATTTGTAAAGAACTTGACCAGCCTTGAACATGTCACCTATTATTTTGACTGAACCAGTTGGCCTCATTTCCATCACTAACTGTTCAGACTTTTATCCCAAAAAAAAAGCAAGACCAAGTTTTCTCAGAGAGTTTAAAGCTTGTGTGATTTCAAGAATTTCATCTTGATGCTTCAAGACTGATCAGTTCTTATTCCTAATTGTTATCATTAATACAAAACCCAAGTTGCAAGTCATACTATGCACCTCCTTTTTCAACAAAGCAGCATATTGGATATTTAGGATGTTAATAATGCATTATTTCCTTTCCCTAAGTATGGGTGTAGAAATCAGTAGGGCTAGTTTTTTTTTTGTTTGGTTTATCACATTCTCTTTCTTATGCATAGTTTTCATAACTTGTGTAATAATAGTGAATTATTATTTTGAAATCACGGTTTCAGACCCAAAGAAATTACTTTATCTACTTCTAAACCAGCCTTTATATTTAAAAAAATGTCCTGTGATTTGTTAATAAATTGCTCTTTATCAACCTAGTTTTCTAAATTCTAACTGCTGTAACATCACAATTACAGCTCCTCATTTGAATTGTGTCCATTGTTTATGATATAGAAACACTGGTTAGAGAGCATTTTTTTCCCCTAAAAATATTTTCTGCATTATTCCTTCTGATACAAATCTAAAATGATCTCCCTGTTCACTTCATTTTCCCCCACTTTCAGGAAAAATGAGCATCCCAACTCTTGTATCAACTCCATAGTGACTTGCAGTTTTCAAAACTGGCTCAGTGTCTCAAATATTTGAAAATGAAATTTACTTTTTTATCTTTAAAAATGATTAAATTTTTGTTATTAACTCATACAGTAGACATAATTTTTTTTTTCACTTATTGAGATCTAAACAAAGATTGAATTTAAGTTGACATTTAGAAACAAAAATACCTTAGTCTTTGTGGTAAACCTATTAGCTCAAATTTCTTCCACAGGACTACTCAGTATCTCATTATGGTGTAACTGACATGATAACCCAGAGAAACAACTTAGAGTAGAGGGAGACCTTTCTTCAAATCTTACCTCTGTTACTTAAGAGCTCTGGGACCGTGGACATGTTTCTTAACCTCTATTGAATCTGGATTTCCTCATCCATGAAAGGAGGATAGTAGTACCTCTAGTATCTGTACCTCATAGGAGTCTGAGACTTAGGAGAGCCTATCATATATGTAAAGCGCTTTGCTCTTATAGCTATAAGTTGCAGAATAGCTGCTGATTCTCAGCGTTAAGAGGAAATTTTCTCTCTGGGAGTTTGCTACAAAGATGAAATCATAGATCCTACAGGTTGTCAATAATTGTTCAGATTCTAGTAAGTAAGTTGGGAGAGGCTTAATAGATCCTAGGCCATTAGGTGATTTTTTTTTTCTAAAGGGGAGACTTAAGGATGACTGTAGCAACTCTTGAAAATGCCCTCTCAAGTATTAGGAGTTGTAGAGGGAAGGAGTGCTTACTTACAGGGATGAAATAATGAATCTTTTGAAGTACTGAAGTAGGCTTAAAGTTACTTGTAGTGTGAGACAATGTGATATTTCAGTATCACTTAAGAGCTTTATTGTTACATTTCTTTTAAGAATTTGTTTTAAAGTTTTTAAATTAGGTTTGAAGTTACCACAGTTACAAAGACCTAGCTCATTGCAATAAAAATCTGAAAATCTAGGTTTCAGTTAGAATAGAAACAAATCCTACTTGTTCAAACCAACTAAAGACTGCCAACATTAATACACTCATGAATATGTTTAAAATTGCTTTTATTTTGTTGAAATGTGTCATTATCAAGTGACAAAAGATTAATGCAATTTTATTTGTATATCTTTTAAGAAGTTAAAAGATTTAAACTGTTTCTTTTGATGAAACAACTGCTTTGATACTTCGAATCTGGGATTTCACAGACTTTTAAGAGCTGGTAGGAAACTCAAGAGGCCATCTAGTACAAGCTGTATCTGAGAGAAATCTCCCTTGTAGTAAAGCTGACCAAATAGTCCTCTAGCAGGCTTCAGCTTGAGAAACTTCAGTGAGGAGAATCCCTTTGCTTCCTCAGATGGTCTGTTCTCCTTTTGGAGACTGCTCTAGTGGTTAGAGCAGTCATCAAGGCTGAAGCCGCCATGCCACCCATTGTATCTTGTTCTAGCCACTAGGACCAAGCAGAACAAGTCAAATCCTTCCACATGAAAATTTTTTTAAGATATTTGAAAACTGTTATCACATCCCTAAGTCTTCTTTAGGCTTAATGACTCCAGTTTTTCAACCAATCCTTGTATGGTATTGTTTCTAATCCTTTCTCAGTCCTGATTGCCCTCTTCTGAATGAACTCTAGCTTGTCCATATTTCATAAAATTGGACCCAGAATTCAGCACAGTGCTTCTGATGCAGTCTGACCATAGCAGAGTACAGTGGAACTGTTAGCTTTCTGTGAATCCTGTACCTTATTTTAATACAGCTCAAGATGAAATTTTTTATTGCCTGTCATGTCACATCATTAGCTTAGTTTGTAGTCTACTAAAAGTCAAAGATAATTTTCATAGAAGTTGTTGTCTAGGCTATGACTCCTCTGTCCTATGCTTGTGAAGATTTTTTTTCAACCCAAATATAGAACTTTGTTTATTTCTTTTAAATTTCCTTGTATTCAGTTCAGTCAATCATTCTAGTCTTTTGAGATCTTCTTAAAGCCTGTCAACTAACTTGTTAGTCATTTTTTCCTACCTTTGTGCCATTTGCACATGTAATAAGTATACCTTTTATAGCTTCATTCAGGAAGTAAGAATTTTGAACAATACATGGCCAAAGATAGTTCCCTTGAGCACTCGACTAGAAAACTCCCTCCAAGTTGACATTGACCTATTCATTGATGACTACTAAATTTCCCTAAATCTATTATGTGTCTTAATTTTTTCTTAAAGATAGTGTGAGAAGTTTTGTAAAATGCTTTGCTAATATCTAAGTATACTAGATGTATAGCATTTTCTGTCCAGTTATCCTGTTGAAAAAGAAAAAGGTTAGTCTGTTCTTTTATTTTTTTAAAAAAAATTTTCTTTTTTACTAAGGTTCTTTGGATGTGCCAGGTCTGGTGGGAGGAGGCCCAAAGCCCAAGAGTGTTGATCTGGAGCAGAACAGGCAGGAAGGCAGGAGAGAATCCAGGAAGGGTTGAGTAAACAGGGATATCTTGGGGCAAATTTGATTTCAGGAGAGCAGTATCCCCAGTGGAGTCAATGATGCCAGTATCAGTAGTGTGTTTCAGTTAACAGGACACTGGTCTGCAAGTTAGATCATCAGGATTCTTAGTCCTGGGTTTTACCGTTAGTTAAAGATCTGACTTTTGGAAATTTGGAATCATTCTAACCTCCTTCTTAGAGACAGCTTGGCATGGAGGTTGAAGCAAGAGTCACAGGCAGACCTGAGTCTGAAATTACTTTCTCTCACCCTCATTTTCTTCATTACTTGGAAGTCATCAGCACTTCAGATTTCACCCTGAAGGTGTCAGAACAACAACGTGTCTTAGATTTCATGTCTGCCTTGGTCATAGATAGAATCCTAATGAAGCAGCTCCCATCCCCAATATTCTGACTTCCTTATGGGCCCCACTGAACAGCAGACATGTCCTGATTTAACCACATAATGTGACTTTAAACACACTTCAGGCCCCCAGACTCAATACAGCCACTGCCCCTAGCTAGCCACTGTCCTCAGATCCAATTTACATATTTAAATAGGTGTGTTCTTATATTCAGCCACAATCCCATCATCCATTTAGCCCAAGACAGGACCACAATACCTTACTATCCATCTTGACCAGACAGGACCACAGTAGCTAGCCAATCAGAAAGCAGCACGACCAGGCTATTTGACCACCAAACCACAAGAAGGGACCCCCTCCCTATTACCTAATCCCTTAACAAACCCTTCCTGCCTTTTTAACATTCATAATTTCTGTTATGTAATC